GGAAAGCATTAAGAAATGCTTTCCTATGGGCGTTTTTAATGTGCGTGCGGCTCTGGCCGTGCATGCGCGTTCGGCTCCACTCGGGAGCTGACATCAGAGGGGGAGGAGAGGTCACCAGCACGAGGGAGCCCGGCGCTGGATAAAGGTAAGTGGCTGAAGGGGTAAGTGGCTGAAGTGGTAACTGTTAAATGTGTTTTATTGGATTATCATTTAAAGTTTGTGAAAAAATTTGCATTTTACATCATATTAAAACAATGCCTACATATGCAATAAAGTAAAACATACAGTAGAATTAAACGTATGATTATTTTATTGAAATTGGACTTTTTAAAATTGTATGTTTTAATATACCCCATGTACTTTTGCTTTTTGAGTTTATTTAAAAAGACATCACATTGTGATCACTATTTCCCAAGTGCTCCCCTACTTGAATGTTGGCCAAAAGATCAACATTGTTTGTTATAATCAACTCCAGACAAGCATCCTTTCTAGTTGGTGCTTGCTTGTACCAATTGTGACATAAGGTGTCATTTAACAGGTTCAAAAACCTGATTCCCCTTGCTGAACTACTTGTCCAATTTATTGTTTATTTAAAATCTCCAATAATTAACATGTTACCCATTGCTTTCATGATTTGTTCTAACAAAAGCTGTCTTTCCTCATCAATATCAACATTAGGTGGTTTATAACATATCCCAACCAAAACTTGATTTCCCTCCTTTTCTCCACACAGATATCTACCCATAAATCTTTCATATTTTCCTTGACACATTCCACTTGCTTAATATTTGGATTTAACTCATGGTTGACATAAATACGTAGCCCACCATCCTTCCTCTTTTTTTCTATCATTACTACATAGTGTATAACAATTTTAAATAACTGCCCAGTCATGTGTCTCATCTCACCATGTTTCTGTTATGCCTATTATGTCATATTGCGCACTATATGCTATTGCCCTTTAGTTTCCCATTTTGTTATTTGGGCTCCTTGCATTAGTAAGCAGACTTTTAATATTAGCATGAGTCACTTGAACTTTATGTGAATTTGTATTACTATTACATACTTCCTCTGTTCTGCTCTTGCCCCTGTCCCCATCTCCACACCTCTTGTGTTGAGCTAAAGCCCATCGCTTTTATGTCCTATCTCCATTTTGCAGATGTCTGTGTCCCTCCCCCTTAGTTTAAAATCTCCTCCAAACTTACTAGGAGGAGGACCATTAAGGGAGAAGATGGCATGTCTGCTGCATGAGATCGAGTACTCTGACATTTCAGGCTTAAAATGCACTTCTAATGGCTATCTTCCTGACAGCCACTTAGGGTGCTTTCTTCTCCAGAACTAAGTGATCCTGGATTAAAGTATTGCAGAAAGCAGCATTTGATTGGAGTAAGAAAGCATTTTGGCGATTGCGAGTTGCTGAAATCACTGGAGGAGGAACTGAAGGCTGCATTGGATGAGTCCAGTTGTTCAGTCAAATGAGGTGACTAAACTTTAACTTAAATTTTACACAGCAAATGGGGTTGCTATAATGGAACCTATAGTCCCAAAATAATGACTGTTAATTTAAGGACTAAAGGTTCCCTTTAAATCTGAGTTAAGAAGGGAGATGTGATGATAGCTTGGGCAGACCTCCAGGTCTTTTCTTTAGGGATTACCTTGATATTAGCAGAAAGGTTATGTGGATGCAACCTGTGAAATATTGGAGCTACGTGTCTCCAGAAAGGGCTGAGCCAGAACCCTATACTATATATTAAGCTATAGTACCTCACAGAAAGGCCATCTCAGCCAAGGGCTTGCCCAAGAGAGAAGAACTAAGAGCTTTCTGTAGCTCTTCCTGTGTAATAGTTCACTCCATCTCTGCCTTCACCGGTGCAGTGATGGTGTTTTAAGGTCTTTCCTTAAATAATCATTAATGTCAGACTGGTGCTTGTCAGAGTCACAGAAATGGTCTTCATTATGTATATTGTAGAGTGATTCATAATCTTGTCAAAATATCTCTAGCATATCTTCAGGTACCTGAGTTTGAGTGTGATCTGCATGTGTCAATCTAGGGACATAGGTAATTGACCTAGCCTTACTTGTGATTTTCCGTATTTATTATCATATTCAAAGAAGTATTTTTATAGTTATACTAAGAGTTTTTTGTTTTTTAACATTAAATATAGAATACAACTGAGAATCACAGTAAGGAGATACCATCATGAGAGTATAATGTCAAACTAGAAAGTTAATACAAAATATCAGTAACATGCAGTATGGCAACAATAAAATGCATAAGTAGGCAACATAACCACAAGAAATCGTCCATCCTTCTTTATACTAATGTTCCCCTTTTGTAGGAGCTCAGTATTCTTAAAGGAGCACTATAGTGCCAGGAAAACAAACTTGTTTTCCTGGAACTATAGGGTTAATAGGTCCCCCCTTCTCTCAGGGCCCCCCTCCCGCTGGGCTGAAGGGATTAAAAACCCTTCAGCCACTTACCTTAATCCAGTGCCAGGCTCACTCGGCACTGGTGACCTCTCCTCCCCCTGCCGATGTCAACTCTGAATGCGCATGCGCGGCAAGAGCAACGCGCCCATTCAAACCGCCCATAGGAAAGCATTACTCAATGCTTTCCTATGGACGTCCAGCGTCATCTCAGTCTGGTTTTCACACTGAGAATCGCGGAATCGCTCTCTAGTGACTATCATGTTTGCAGCTGCAGGGTTAAAACTAGGGGAACCTGGCACCCAGACCACTTCATTAAGCTGAAGTGGTCTGGGTGCCTATAGTGGTCCTTTAATGTGCCTCAATTTGTACTAAAGCTATACAGCAATAATATGATAATTTATCTATAATTTTTTTGTAAACTAAAATAAATGTTGAGATATAATAATGTGTAAATAACATACATTGCTATTTTAGACA